GGCGTGCAAAGCTGTGATTGACCTCCAGAGTGACCAGTCGCTGCGTCGAGCTTTAGCAGCAAGACCTCGCGTGACCTCGTCTTTCCAAGCTGGAGATCTTGTGGCCTACTGGAGAGAGCAAAAATAACAAGGGGGTACCAAGTCTGAAAAGGGTCATGTACTTCTGGGAGGACACTGGTTTGGTACAGCTGTGGTTATGGGAAGGATAGGCCGGAACTATGTCATCGCCCACCGCAAACAGATTTTCCGGGTAGCACCAGAACAACTCAGAGCAGCTACATCCGAAGAGAAGGCAGTACTTCAATCACCCCAAGCTGAACTACTCGGTATTAAAGATCTGTTGGAAGGAGGTACTTTTAAGAGTCACCAGTTTGTGGACTTGGTTCCGGGACATTACCCCACAGTGCAAGCAGACTCGACATCATCACAAACGCAAAGCAATATCAGACCAAGTGAGCCTGCTCCTAACCGCTGTTCCCATGGAAGTGGTTCCACCAGACAACGAGACCAGTCCAGACAAACATCAAGAAAGACTTGATGATGAAGAGGAGTTTCCTCGCTTCTCTCAAGGTGGATCCAGTTCCAGTGCCAGAGCTCCGTCAGCCGAACCAGTGTACGGCCCTGTGCGCCGTCGTGTCTCACAGAAGGCCGGTGAGGCAGCTCTGTACCGTCCACCAGCTATGAGGGAAGAGGACTTCACTGAGATGATGCGAGAGATGGTTCCTCATCTATTGGCTGATGCATTAAACATGGACACCAGTGAGCCAACCTCCAATGTGTCCCTGAAACGAGAGCATGAAGAGCCAACCAGCGAAGAACCACCTGCCACTCGCATGCGCACCTCGACCGATCAAGACGACGAGTGCCTCTTTTTGGAAGAGTTCCGTTCAGAGGTCTGGAATGAGTGGTCTCCCAACCAACCAATAGAGGTGCTCATGGCTGCATACCTCCAAAAGAAACTAAGCAAAGAGATTCCTCATACAAATGCTGATCCCCGGTTGCAAAGGTTGGTTGATGAGTCAAAGATTGCGGAATGGAAAACTCTCATTGAAAAGAAAGCGGTAGTGGTTCACTATGGGAAGAAAGCTGCACTGATCCGTGAAAAATATGCCCACCGTTTTATGGGAAGCCGGTTTGTCATCATACGAAAACCGTTGGAGGAGAGTCAACACATTGACATCAACGATCCATCCACATACCGTATCAAAAGTCGTTGGTGCCTTCAAGGTCACTTGGACCCCGACTTAGATGCTAAGGCCCAGGAAGGCCTCCTCAAGTCTCCCACCTTAAGTCAGATCTCTCGTATGCTCCTCATGCAGTTGATCTGTTCCTTTGGCTGGGACTTGCAGTTGGGAGATATAAAAGGAGCCTTCATGGAGGCCGGACCTCTGGAGGATAAGTTCCGGCCGCTCTATGCCTCTCAACCTGCAGGAGGCATCCCTGGAGTTCCGGAAGATGCGGTGTTGGAGATTGTTGGAAATGTCTACGGGCAGAATGACGCCCCAGCAAGTTGGTTTCGCACTTTCCACACTGAGGCATCTTCAGCGGGTTGGCAGCAGTCTATTTTTGATCCCTGCCTGTACTATCTTCGTAACCCCAATAGCAACCAGTTGGAAGGGATCGTGGGTGTTCACGTTGACGATACAGCCGTAGGTGGATCGGGCCCTCGTTTTGATGAAGCCATTCGACACCTCAAAGCCAGGTTTCCATATCGGAAGTGGCGCGTGGGCGAGGGAGAGTTTTGCGGTAGCTACTATCGGCAAAATAGAACTACTAAGGGTATTCGCATGTCTCAGAAGTTGTTTGCCGAATCGCTCCGTCCCGCAAACATTCCAAAGGGTGCTAATAGTGAAACCAAGCTCCACGATGGTCAAGTCAAAGTCCTCAGAGCAATCAACGGAAGCCTCAATTGGTTGGCATCACAGTCCAGACCAGACTTGGCTGCCCAGACAAGCATGTCACAACAAGCGCTTCCCAATCCCATCATTAGGAACTTGAGAGATGCTAACAATGCCGTGCGTAGGGCGAAGCAACATAAAGACTTAGAAATTTCCTTTCAAAGCATCAAACCGGAGAATCTCCGAATCTGGTGCCACAGTGATGCTGCATGGGCAAACTTGGGACACCACACACAAGCAGGCTTCATCTTAGCTTTTACAGATGAAACTTTGAATCAAGGTTTGGTTGCCCCTTGGACGCCACTGCTTTGGAAGAGCTACAAACTTCCCCGTGCAGTCAGCTCCACCTTATCGGCGGAGAGTCAAGCTATGGCATGTGCAAGTGGCTCAGTAGAGTGGGTCAGTTTGCTCTTGTGCGAGGCGCTGGACGGCTCATTTGAACCACGAGCCGGACGTGAGATGCTGTCACGTAGGGCACCCCTACTGGCCACAGACTGCAAGTCCCTGTTTGATCATCTAGTTTCCCCTTCATCTCCGACAGCAGTTGAAGATCGCAGGACTAGTATCGATATAGTGATCATTAGGGAATCCTTGAAGTTAACTAAGGCACATGTTCGTTGGTTTCCAACCGGCCGTATGATTGCCGATGGTTTAACAAAAGATAAACAGGACCCAATAGACCTTCTCCGTTCGTGCATCAGAACGTCAACGTACCAGATCTCGCCTGAGAGCTATGTACTAGCCCAGCAGGCTGCCGAACGAGAACGTCGTCAGAAAAGTCGGGTCGAAGCACAGCAGGGTCACATAGTCCCATCGGGGCCAATGCACAGTGAGCTCGCTGCTTAGTTAGAGGTTCAGGGGTTCACAAGTGAGTACTCTTTTGGGTTGAGTATCTAGCATTTGTGCAGAAACCTCTTGCAGTCTTGTCACTGTAAACTTTGTTGTATCACTTTTCGTTAATGCTATGTTCCTGCAGTCCTTTTCCTGTTACTGCTCAAAGGCTGACGCTCTTGTGTCTGTCTGAAAGGGTGAACATGTCCCTGTCCTTGGAGGACCAGCAACAGCTGTTGGAGCTTCTCAAGAAGGCTCATGCCAGCGGTGTGAAGTCGGAAGAACTTCACTATGCAGTGCAAGTCAGCTGCCAAAGTCCTCCAGCCTCATGATTTCTTTGTGGTCTCCAGCGGAGGTGCAATGACCGATGCCGCGAAGCGTCGTGAGATGTGTGAAGGAGAATCCAAGAATTCCAAGCGTGCCTTCAAGACCGCTTACGGTCCAGCCGATGCGACTTCCTCTGATGCCCATGCTGGCTATCCGATTCAGTGGGAGGGCGACATTCCCGGCTATGAGGGCGGGTCTTATGTGGCTCCAGGCGTGAAGCCAACACCATTTCCTTCTCACAAGCCTGATCTGCCATCTCCCAAGCTGGAGAGCGAATTCCCGGAAGGCATCACTAGCCTTTCACAATGGGGTCGGACCATTGTGAGTTTCGGCCAATACAACCATCAGAATGTTTCTTATTTTGACTTGATCAGCAGTACAGAGGCCCGAAAGGCCAATTATGTGAAGTGGTGTAAGTCCCATGGCAAGACAGCTGGTGGATTCCTTAAGGATTTCTGCAACTATATCCAGCTGTTTGAGGCCACTTCTGGTGAGAACCAGGGACCCAAGATTCCGGGTACCGGCCATGTTCGCTCTTTTAAGAGTTGAAGATCGGTGTTGAAACGACACTCGTGATCTCAGGATGTCCCATCAGGTTGAGACATCGTATCATGGACGCAGGGACTCTAGGCCCAGGCCATCGGAGAAACGAAGCCCGTGCGTAGCCGATCGGAGTCGGCTGCCAATGTTTTTACATATGTATATATAGGTGACAGTGGGTCAGTGACAGATGCCTCAAAAGGTGTTCCATTCCTTTGCGCGCCAAACAAAGGCTAACATTTTCGCGTTGATGTTAGCCATGCGCGTTGAGCGTGTTTGCTTCGCCAACGAAGTGAGACCGATCACTTGCAGCCAAAATACAGCCATTTGCACGCTCCAGCCCGAGGGGTTGTCTGGGGTGAGCAGTGATTGCAGGGTGTGTGTAGCAAACTGCCCCGTGATAATTTGAAAACCTTTGTGTGGGACATCCCCTTTGACAAGTAGCACGCACACGCAAAGCTGAAAATTTGTCGTCGTGCTTTTTGATCAATCAGTCAGAAACACACTTGTCTCTTATGAGCTGGGGTCCTTTACAGTGTCACACCGCGTGACCACCACCAGACAGTTCAAGAATGGCACGGCTCAGGGGCTTCAAGGGCAAAGGCCGTGGCAAATGGGGTGGAGCTGATAGCCGAATGGAGTGAAGTGGTGGCATTGACCCAACGCAGTGATCTTCTTCGATAATGCAAAATAATAATACAATAGAAAACCAATAGTTTAATTCAATATTAATGCACAGGCATATTGAGTTTTGAGTTATGTTCTTAGAAGATACATATGTCTATCAACAGTAAACGACAGAGTCTTGTACTAATATAACTCTTCACTTTGACTTGCCTTCGCTGACAGACTTGACCTGGGACTGGTAGATTCACTTGAGAGATTTCACTTGACAGCTTGCTTGTCTAACGCGAACTTTTCACCAAAGGCTACGATTCAGCTGAGAGATTCGCCGGAGAGACTTCACATGCGAAGTTTGTGCAAAAGTTGAAATATCATGTGTAAAGTTAGTTTTTTTCAAAAACTGAGGATTTGTAACACATAACTATATATATATAAAGAACACTATTAACATGTTGAAGGTGTTTGATGATTTGTATTTAGTCATTTTCGGTTTGACCAGGTGAAAGTTGGGAAGTTTGTAAATTTCATGAACGTTTCATATGACATGTAGTTTCTTGAAAGATTCATATGAACATGAAAGCTCGGTGTTTGGTGAAACCTTCGAAAAACTTTCATTCATGGCTCTTTTACTTGCAATATCAAATTCCCGCAAGGGTCACCACTGCACTAGCCTAGGCTACTTCTGGATGTTCATTGGACACCCCTCCTTGGAAGGTTCATGTGATTGGCACCCATTTGTTCATCCTCATGGAGATCACCTTTTTGGGGTTTTGATCTCAGGATATGACTTCGGACCACCATCGCGGTCGAGTTTTTGGACAGATGCAAAGTGCCTTCATGTGTGGCATGTTCTGCGCCCCGCGACTGGAAGAGTTGCATCAAGAGTCGAGGGAACAGATCGACAGCTGATTTCCCCTGAGCCAATGGAAAGGGAATAGCCTCGTCAAGCCCCCCGCGACTGGAGGATGGAGTGTTTAGGTGGGGTGACTGTTTGAGGGAGCAAACCCGCAAAAGAGAACATGAGAAAGAACGAGCAAGTGACAAAGAACGAGCGTGCATGCTTCCAAGTGGTTTGCCCAGACGTGCACGCTGCAGTTTGGCAAACATACCCAATCGCTGAAGGCTTTGGGTGATGTCCTCGACTTTTCAAAAATCACCTTGGGGCTAGCCGGGCTCGGTTTCCTTTGGGGGAAGGTAACTAGTTGTACGGATATAACTATGTTCGCACTACACTACACGTTGATGAACAATGATGAACATGTATATATACTCATCATGCTTTATCACAGACCGATCGCAAACATTCGGACTAACCTGCGCCGGAGTGTCAACGTGTCCCAACTCTATTTTGCTATCTGTGCAATCAACTGGAACTGCTTGGAACAGTGTTCCCTTTCTTAACAACCGATGTGAGACTGAACCGATGCGAGACGACACCAAGGCCACCATGGTTGCAGGGAATATGGCCAACTTGCACGTGTGGCGGATACCAGGGTGGCGGATCGTTTTCTTCCTGGGGAGTTTGGTCGCTTACTTGGTCACGTTCATCGTCTGGAAGTTCATGATGGAGCCTTCCCGCTCGCAAGAGGAGCTCAGCCAGAACAGGCGCGTGACTTCAGTTGAAGTGGGAACCAATGCCAGACCATCCCTGTATGCAATAGTTACATAATGTTATATACTGCATTTACTGACTTGCACCATTCATGACCCCAAAGTATATATATATAACTATTCCAGTTTCATGGATGCTTTGGGAATTTTCGGAGCAGGCGGAAGAAGTTCCTGGACCCTTCAAGTAGTCCCTCAAAAAGGAAGCAACGCGGATGGCTTGAAATGGAACGCCTGGGGCGGGCCGCCCCTTCGCCAGTCAGATTGTTCAAAGACTGCCAAAAGGAGCATCCCGTAAAGTGGTGGGAGAACCACGAGTGGGTTGGTCGGAATCCTGAATATAGCCCTTTGGCTCAGGAGAACATTATGAACATGTTGAGCGAACCACCTGCCTTCAGGTCGGTGATCAGTGAGTTGTGGACGGTGCTGCGGTTTTTGCGAATACCCACCTTTAGCATCATGATTCTTCAGGGTATCTTTGGCGGGATGCCCTGGACCATCATGGGAAACAACTTGCTTTTCTTCAAGCTTTGTGGCCTTCCGGACTGGCAAGCATCCATTTTGACCTCAGAGTTTACAGCCTCTTGGTGAGCAGTTTGCACACTTTTTTTGCCAGCGGACACTGCGGACTAGTGAGAATTTGCAAAGGATGGATTGATATGGATTGGCTGGGACATTTAGCAAGGGACAGGTTATAAACAAGTCAAGGATAATTAGTGCATACAATATAGGCCCCAAGTAGATAGAAAAGTACATCTCCACTGAAAATGTATTGGAAACCGTTTCTATCTATTTGGGGATCACTGTGAAATACCGTCCAATGAGACTTACAAACTGCGGATTCGACGCACGACTAGTCACTGCACTAAGCCGGGCTGCGAGCATTCATGGAGGGATATAACTACTATAACGGCTATAACACCTTGTTTCCGAACACGGGGTTGCCTGGAAAAGCTGCAGTGGTTACTAGTTAGTCCAATCCCATGTTCTTTCCACAGGTCAAGTCCGCTCTTTCCACGGGCAACTCAGAAATCTCAAAGCTGTCCTAATGTTGACTGTGCCTGTTGATTCCTCAAACTCGATGTTTCCAAGATGATTTTAATTTTACACCTCCAGCCGGGCTGGGGGGTGTTTCATCGACAGTCTACATCAGAGTCGCGAGCAAGTGAACCCCAGTGCTCCAAGGGCGAAGGGTGACCGTCCGATCCGGTCACCTGAGCCTTCCTTGTAGGCCCAGCTCCCTCGACAGCTTAGTCGAAATGTAAAGACCTCGCCAGTTTTGAGCTGCAAGTGAAGATGTTTTTCCACGACCAACACCATATTGACACATAATCCAATGGCAATATATCTTGCACCAACTGGGTCAGATGTAGAATCACAGCCAAATCTCATGCGTTGTTTCTTCATGTGTTGCCTTCCGCACCAAAAGGTCATGGCCACGTTTGGATCCATCCTCGGTGGGCTTGTGGCAGACTTTTTAGCCAAACGTTTGGGCTTGCATGGACGACCTTTGAGCGCACAAATCACTGTGGCCATTGGGATTCCTTTGCCACCTGGCGGTTGAACTGGGAGAACGGACACCGTGGAGATGGAGATCGGGAGATTTGGGAGGCTTCAGACGAACAGTTTAGGACCGGATTTTGGGGGTTTATTTATCATATTTTGTAAAATATGTACGATTGGCAAACATGTTTCCGCTTGATTTTAGATGGTGTTTAAAAACATATCCCCATGCCGGGTTCTTGTTCTGTGTGCAGACTCATGAGGGAGAACCAGAAGCTTTCCACGCATTGGAGAGAGCTCTTTGTAGAGAGCCTTTCAAACACGAGTCTTGGGCTGCATGTCGATGTTTTGCTTCTGGATCAAACGCTTCAATAGCAACAACCGGTAGTCAACGAACCTGGCCAGTCGCTTGACCGGCCAAGTTCGGTGTTTTGGAGATTACCTGGAGAAACATACTGTACCATATGCTATCACAGGACCTGCGCATTGAAGCATCCTCAAAAAGATGCATGTTGAGACCGCCTTAGAACACCTGCGGCTGAGAACATCATCGAGAAGCGGAGTTCCGTGCGCCGGAAATGGTCGTTGAGTCGTTGGGTGTCAGGTCAACCCCCACTCTTTGGATTCGCTGTTCTTTCCCTCCAGCTTAGCAGAACCGATTTCTGACGCTCAGGATGTATTTGCAATTTTGGGGAATCCCAGCAGGAGAAGGCTCGAGGAAGCAGCTCGGGGAGCGGGTTGCTGGTGAGAAGGACACAGTCTTGCATTGGGAGCCAGTGAAACAATTCCCAGACCATCCATGGATTGGATTAGTTACATTTGGATTACACGTTTTACCGCATTTTATGGCCCACGTGTATGAAAGACACTACTCCATACTTGGATGGTTTGGGTATGGATTGTGGGAAGAATTGCTTAAGCATTGTTCCTGCGCCTGTTGAAGAGTTGTTGTTGCTTGCTTCGTTGGTTGCTTGGGGTCGTTGCTTGGTTGGTTGTTTGGGGTGGTTGCTTGGTTGGTGGCTTGCTTGCGTTTTGGTTTGTATGCTTGTTGTTCGCATGAAGGGATTCTCAGGCACTCCTTAGGGTTCAGAGGCTCCCTGCTCCCTTTGAAACAATGTTTGGCACCCTGAACACCTGTGAACACCTCTGAACACTTGTCTCCAAGCGTGGCCCAAGGGCCCCCGCAATGCACCTGCCGGTCAGGCAGTAGATCCGAGGGTCCGGCGATGTGCAGGTGACCCGGTGACCCCCCTCGAGATCTCCCGATGAGGAGTCTCATTGGTCGCCCCTGCGGAGGAATGCCATACACGTTGGTTGTTGTTTTTTGTTTAAAAATAAAGTTAATCTGGATCTACAAACAATGCGCTTTTTTCGTGTTCTTCCTCTTTCTGCACATGTGTTGACCCTTGAAAGGGTGATTCGTAGAATGTCCGATGTTGATTATGAAACGTGTGGAAGAGGGAAAGCAGATGAAAGAAACAGACCAATACCCCTTGGTTGGGCTCTTGCGGGGGTCCCAGTGATAGGCATATTGGGCATGAAAAACCATGTCGACCAAACTCTAACTAGGCCATCAAGGCCATCAAGGCCATGACGAACTGATAAAAGGTAAAACACTCGAAGAACAGATCTCATTTGGTAGCTGCTTGGTAGCTTTTGTTTAGTTTACGTTTTTTTTTGCCTCAGTGTGATGTTTCATCGTTCTGAGTGTCGCAGCTATGTCCGTGTTGCAGTCGCCGGGAGGTGGCTTTTGGACCTACCTTGTGATTATTGCGGCGTTTGGGCTGCTGGGTACATGGGCGGGATCCGGTACAAACCTGCCGCCTGGCCAAGGGCGGCGTTTTTTTCGGGACTGGGAACCGTACGGAACCGTACGGAACCGGGTCAAAGCGGCTTTCGGTGCGTGAAAGATTGAACAACAATTCAGGTGAATGATCCCAGACACTCCATAAATATGCCATATATGCCCACATTGGGGTGGTTTTGGGTGTCAATGTAGGCATATATGGCATACATCGAGTGTTTGGGGATAGTGTATGTGTATGGTCTTGGGTCCCAAAAGACCGACTGGTTGACTGCTCCCCCCTGGTGGACCGCGAGAGGTCGCGACCTCTGCAGCAAGTGACTGATCGGACAAACCTGGTGGGTCACGACCTATCCCCGTATGAGAAACACCCTATGGTACCCATAGGATCCTCTTGGTCTATTAATAGACCGGATATGCTTTAGCTTAGAAACACCCCCTATACATCCCTATACAGTACAATCACAGTACCCTGAGAATCCGAACGAGCCCTCCATGTCAGGGCTCGGACCTTCTCCGAAACGCAGAGGTCCGGACCCGGTTCCCACAACCGCATGTGTTTGCCTCAGGGAATCTATGAAGTCGACCGAAAGCCGACCGAAAGCCGAAGCCGTCGACCGAGAGCTGCAAGCCTTGCCTTCGAGATGTGATGCGAAAGAACCTTCAAGAGGTAACCATGCGACCTTGGTACTTGTAGAATCGAGACCAGATGTGAAATTGCCCATGGTTCTTTCATGGCGCGAAGACAAAGGTAATAGTAAAATATAGTAACTATATACTGCTGGGTACGGTTCATGTATAGGGATTGGGATTTTCAGGACAGCATGCTTTGTAAGTTCCTGCTCTTACTGGCTGCTCTAAATTTGAACGACGACCCGTTTGGGAAGTGGACATGAATATTCATTGATCGTTCTTGCCGTCGCTTCACAAACCCGCCGCGTTCTCGCTTCTTCCAGGCGGTTCCCTCCCCCCTTCGCCGTCCGACGACGTCGTCCTGCTGTGAAGTCGTGGGACACGAGGCCCATTCTCTCCCACATCGTCCCGCCTGGTGAACGCAGTAAAGTCATGGCTTGGGAGGCACGTCGGGGTTCCACCCCCGCCGCGACTCGCGTCGCGAGGGGAGAGGGGGTTGGAGATCCGAAGGAAGGCCGGGGGCACCGACTAGACGACTAATTGCTTGATGCGCGGTTGGTATTTGGCAAACCGCCTAGCAAACGATTGAGGTCGTTTGAATCGAATTGTCACCAAAAACAATTCCAGGGAGCTAGGCATGGCATTTCGGGGAACCGAAGGACTTCAAATGGAGGTCCTTTCCTGTCCAGTGATCCAGTGCGGAATTTGTCAGGTGCTAAACCGGAAGAGTCTAAAGTAGACACCCAGTGGTGAAGTTGATTGCAGCCAGAAATATTTCAGAACGTCCCAAACCAAATCAATGGTTTGGAATGAGCGTGAGAGAATTTATTTGTATACAGTATTTCCATTCCATGTTTTTGTGTCCAACATCAAGGGAGCTGTTGCAAAGGAGTTGCTTGAATGCTGTTGAGTGGGTGTTGACTTACATGGTCAACAAGCTAGAGAAGATGTTCTACGTTCTACGGTGGATTCAGCTCTATTGGATCGTTTTGAGGCCTTATTTCATCTCTATTTACATTTGGCAGCGCCCACACCAGCCATGCCAAATGCCGTTTGACCTTTCATCCGCCACTGCTGGCTGAATTTCCTTTAAAGATGTGCGGATCACCACAACACTCACCCACATTCACTAGGTATGAGAGATCTTTTACCACCTTCATTCCGTTGGATCTATTCACTGTGGTTTGGATCTTCCTTAGACGACCTACCTTTGTTCGCCGGCGACCTGCCTCCCTTTCCTCCTTCGTTCCGCCTATGCTCCGCCGAGGGCGCCCTGGAGAGCTCGCTGGCCACCGCCGTCGGCCCGGCGAGCGTCTCCATCTTGGCGAAGTGCATCTTCGGCTACAACTTCGGAGAGGAGACCCGTGGGGATTCTTTTGGCCCCCCAATGAGCTTTGAATCCACGAACTGGGTGATCCGAGGTGGATGAAGTGGTTTTGGTGACACAGGGCTGGACTGAGGGCTGAACTGGCAATCCAACGTCGGAGACACACTGGGTGGACCCTATAGGGGGGGCTGGACCGAGGTCCTCGCAGTCCGTGGCGGACCGCCAATAGCCGCCGAATAGCTCATGTGGGCGAACAGGAACCTCGACCCAGTATATATATATATATATATATATACCCCCATCCGAAAGGGACACTCGGACACTGGTGCTGGCTGTGTGTGTTTTTAACCCCCCGCACAGAATAATTACACACAATAGACAAAATCGGACCAACCCAGACGAAGGTGAAACCTTCTTCCAAGCTTGAACCATATCCCTGACCATGCCCCACGAAAGTTTCCAGACGTACAACATACGTATATTACCATTATAATGCTGTGCATGTGTTCTCGTCTCTTACATTATCTTACCCACGACTAATATACAATGTACCCAGACGCTCATTGACCCTCAAACTGCTACATGTTTGAGGTCCACAACCCTAGTTGTGAGGGTCAAAACCCTATCTCTATGAGGGTCCAATGAGCGTTTGGGTAATAAATTAACTCAACCATCTCACAACCATAATGTCGACTCTTGATTTATAAACTCCCCCCCTCAACAACCAACTCCTCCAAAATAATGTATAAGAAAATCAATCAATTGATAATTAAATAAGGAATCCTTAGCTAGCTACCTCTGGAGCTACTCTGGCAATACTAAAATGAAAGGAATCAAGAAACCTAACTTTGAAGACATTTGGAATATGGAGTATTAATTACAATAAAAGGGAATGAATCAATGCAAATAAAACTAACTTTTTAAATGTCAATGGAAATCTGAATCCAAAGACCTGCAATTTCAATGGTAAGTAAAGCAAATCAAAAGGCAAAGAACAGGAATAAAGATTTAAAGCCTCAAATCTCTAGACATTATTCTAGGGGCCCCGGCCCCCCCTAAATAATGTCAGAAAGCTGCTTGCTGGACTACCCCCTTTGCTTGAATGTTTTTTTTTTGTTTTTCAATACTTTTGAATAAGGGATTTTATAAAGAAAGTGCACACTGACTTTTGGAAACTTTTGGAAAGCTTCAAAACTAAAGAGCTTAGGAAAAGTAAATAAGGAATAGAGGGTGAGCAAAGCAAATCAAAAGGGAAAAAGTAAACTATAACAATAAAAAATATTCCACTACAACTACCCCTCCAAAAAATAGAAGACATTTTTCTGGGGGCCTTTATAAATCTGTGCAGGAAAAAACAAGTCATTATTCTATCGGGGTTTATAAATCTGAGGGCCACATTATTCATATGCATTAAAGACTCGTGAAATGGACCTGTTGGTTTCGAACGGAGAATTTCCCAACTCCAAGCCAGCTGCCTTTTTGTTTCTCTTTTTGCCTGCATCGTCCGAACTTGCACCATTCTTTTTGGCTGTCTCGGCTGCGCAGGAAGAGAAGAACGGCAAATCCATTGAAGCAGCCACGGCCTTGGGGAAAGCGATGGCGGTGCCTCAACGGGGCGATGGGTGGGAGAGTCGACGCGAGCGTCGAGCGACAGCGTCGAGCCGAGGGGAATGACGGGCAGTGAGGCCGTTGATGTTCCCGAGTTTGAGTTGTTTTTTGTTTTTTTCTGGCATGGGGATTAATATGGTTTTATATGAGTTTGTTGCTTTAAGGCTCTGCCGGTTCCTTAATACAATCAGAGATTCGTCCGAAGTGCTAAGGTTCTTCGTCCGAAGTGCAAGTTTTTGTGCTAAGCAAACACCAGCCAAAGTGACTTGTTGAGTTGATACGGTCATCCTTCAGAGGGTACCATGCGTTGTGCCAACAAATGGACGTGAATCATGGCACAGTACACGAGCTCAGGCCACCTGTCACTGTTCACAAAAGCACAAGTTTCTTAATGAACAGGGCCGGCAGGAAATATATCTTGTAGCAGGTGATTGTGTCAGTGTATACGGATCAAGAACCTTTACTGTAGTGGGTTGTGCAGAAACAGACTAGGAGTAACACAGCGTTCTTTGAACATAAGATGGGTTGCCGAACTTCAATAGCACGGGATGCCGGAGCGCAAGCTGCAGCTTGCGCGAGCTGCAGGTCTCGTTCAACCACTCACTTTCAGCTTGTGGACTTGCGGTGATCAAGACAATTTCACAAAAAGGTCGCTGTGTTTTCTGTTGCTCTCAGCACCTCTTTGCCGAGGTCAGCATTTGCCTTCCATGGATTGTGACATTTTTGGTCTACACATTGATGCATTGGAGCTATCCAAGAGACATTCGACACCTGAAGGCACACGAAGAAGATCTCCATGCTGATGCCAATACAGTCTAAGGTGATGTAAAAACATCGCACCAAGACTGTAATCTTTTAGCGTTTTGTTTTATACACTGATTTGGAGGCTCACATGTGGCCATTTGAGCATTTCCTTGTGGCACTCCAAGTCAGATGCATGACAGTAAGGCCATACCACAACAAATGCACGACCACCAGGCAATCCCTTGCAAAGTGCACCACTTCTTGGCCAATTTTGGTGCTGGAAACTGGGACTTGTTGCAAAAACTACCGTGGTCTGCAATGGGAAGTTCCAAGATGAGGAATGGGACCCAAAAAAGAATCGGACTGAGACTGAAGCTCTATAGAATGCTGCTGGAGAAGTTTTGAGGGACATGATTCTTGACCAGTTTATATTAATTCCAATTTGTTTGGAGAAACAATTGCGGTGAAAGGGCTTTGGGCAGATCATCAATGTTCAAGAGCAACATTGTGTCCTCTTTGTATACACCCTCATGCAGATCTCTTATGGATGAAATATGTTGAACTTTTGAACTATGTTGAAATAGACAACGTAACTAAATAACGTTCCATCCTTATCAAAGAACAACACTTTGTTGATGAATTCAGACCACAGGCAACAAGTTCGCTAGTGCGGCATTTGGGTGAATTTTCCCCAGGGCCTGGCCACACACCATCGACCTCAGTGCTCGTGTGTGAAATTGCCTTGGCCCTTGCAATTTCGAGCTTCGCGTGACCATGCGGACTCGTGAAATGCCCAGAATTTGTATTGCCTGAGATGAGTAGAAAGACATGTGTGATGGTCTTCCTGACAATACTATACTTACCCACTGCTTGACGTAAAGCTCCAGAACGTGCGGGAGAAAAATATGAGCTGTGCTGCCAGGACCGCAACGGCATCACATTGAAAGCAGGAACGTTGAATACTGTTGACACATGCTTTGCGGGAAGACCTTGTTGTACAGATCTTGACCCTCGTCTCATGAGTTCTCAGGCCCACTCACCCGTCTGCCAACCTGCCTGGCCTTGGCTGTCTCAGGTGACGCCGCGGGGCGCTCCGCACGCTGCGCGCGCTGCGGGCGGTGTGCGCCCCGCCTGACACTGAAGGGTCTGCGGAAAAGCTGAAGATTGCGCTCAAGAGTGTTGATCACCTTTTCGAAATTGCCATTTTGGGTGAACGAACTGCGCACCAGTCCACTTAGTTGGGAGAAGAATTGGATTCGAATTCGCAAAAACTCACGAACTCGAACTCGAGAGTTCGCGAAGAGAAAGCCATGCTGATCATCTGATCATGTTCACTGATTGGGATGATTGGGCCACTTGGAGAAGTCCGACCCCATGTAGCCCACCGGTCCAGTTCGGCCTCACCCTGGGTGCGACTGTGGTGCCTTCGGGTCCTAAGGAGTCACAGTCGGAGTCACACTAAAGCCACTAAGCAGTCACTATATCCAGTCTACACTCCATGTATGGTACAAATATATAACCTAGAACCCAGACATGACCTTTGTTTCGATATTGAAGAGACCATCTTTTGGGTGGTTTGTGGTCCAAAATAGAGGTCATTCAGATTCTAGGTATGTCTACATTGACCCCGACTTCAACCACCCCTGGCCTGATCGGCATATATGGCAGTCCCATTAGTCGTGTCTGGGATAAGGAGTCACAGTCTTTTCCTGGCTGACATGGAAAGTGCTTGGAGAATCCGATGTGAGATGCCCGTAAGGCACTACCTGGACCAGACTTCAAGTACCTTAGAATCCTTAGAAATGGGGCCATGACCCCATAAGATGAGGTACTTGTACCTATTTTCTGAGGTAAGACTCCAGGTACTTGTGACGCAGAACGAAATACCCTTCCAAGAACAAGGGAAACTGAGCATGTGACAGATAGTGACAGGACACTTGGCCCAAACTGTGTGTGACACGGACAGATTATGGTGGATGGAATGGACAAGGTCAACGCAAGAGCTGCTCGAGTCAAGAGAGACGAGCCAGAGAGAGAGAGAGAGAGCGAACGATACTGCAAGTTGGACATCTGGCTGTGAGTCTAAACCCGGGCACCCTGGTTGACCACCGAAAATGAACAGATTCCTCTATCAGGGATGTCAAACTGCCATGGTTTGGTGGGGGAGGTATGTTCATCGTTCAAAGTGTGGAAAGCTGTGTCCAAGTCTGTGACTGCTCCTGCTTTTATGTATAGGCTTGTTGTTTTTCTGCAGGCATCCGGATTCATTTGTTGTGAAGTACTAATACATCACATAGGACAATGTCAAACCATTTGCGCAAACTCACAAACCTTGAAGCCAACTTGGCATGCAAAGCATCATCGTACCACTAGACTCGGTTAGGAAGCAGAGTCATGTACTGACTGCTGGACTGACTGAAAGACTCCCCAGATGTTGCGCTTGTCTCCTACTTGCGCAGGCCGGGATATCCTGCATGTCTATATATATATATATATGTTTGTGTCAAACCATGTCACAATGATACGCCCTCACTGGCATCCTGTGTCGACGCAACGAGATTGGGACAACTTTACAACATATATATATATATCACCATATAATATACTGTAATCAAATCGTTCTGTATGAGCCGCCAGTCCGCGGCTTGTCGTCCTCCCCGCGGCACGCGCAGGACGAGGGGCCACCACTCGACCGGACCATGTCCTGTCGCTTTTCAGTCCTGGAGGCCGAGGCAGCTGCTAACAGGTAAACCTGGCGCAACTCAGGGGCGGGACTGGTCGGAGCAATTTTCAATGAGGGTGTGTGTGTGTGTGTGTATAGGGAGTGCGATGGAGAGCCCTTTGCAAAGGAAAAAGAGGTGAGGTGCCGGCCAAGCTGGAACCGATCTTATTTGGAGCTCTCAAATGGGTGTTTCTCAGCTTGACAACTGATTTCAGGCTGCCACTTTGGAGCTGGAGAATCGGCAGCTGCGTCGACAGCTGCAGAAAGCGCTTGTTGGCAAATGTGAACACTACATAGACAGACTAACTGGTTGGCTTGTACTATATCAATATGTATTCAAGCTGAACCCATGCAATGATTACAGTAATCTCATTGAACCCGCCAGCCCACCGGATTCCGGTGGAGGCATTGATCCAGGTGAGAGTGGCCTGCTACAAACATCGCAAGTCATGATTTGTTTGCCCAGGTTGAACACTGACTGCTGAGGATGGGTCGCGAAAAACCCTGGAGCCCTGGTCAACCATGTACTGTATAGTAAATCACCCGACACCAGGTCGGTCAGCCAGCCAAGGCATCCTGGTGCCATGACCCACGGCCATAAGGATCTTTCTTTTATGAATCGATTCGAGAGTCAACGTCCGTTCAGAAAGTTCTCAGCCCGAGTTCCAAGCCCGGCAGGAGTTCCAGGCCCGGCAACCGATTCCCACGGAAGCCGCCTCGGGGCCGGAGAAAGCTGCTCCACCGTCGCCACGGCTGCCGCCAGCGCTACTGCAGGTGAGGTGTTTTTGGTTGTTTTGTCCAGAACACACAGCGAAGGGTTGTCGTTTTGGGTTCGTCTCGTGTTGTCTCGTGTTTGCGTCGTCGTCACGTGACTGAGGGGAGCTTTTGGAAGAGGTCTTGGCTGGATGGACGACGTGTCTGATTCCTGAAAAACATTGAACAACATATATACTGTATATATATATATAGCATGGAAACGTGATGAGACGTGACGGTTGCAAGTGTGACGGCTGATTTTAAAGAGCAGATGCAAGGTTTTGGCGAGGCCAGCACTTTGAGTTGCTGCGCTATTGGGATTGGCATTCGCAGGGTTGTGACTTGACTTGACTCGTGCCTTTTGGAGCAAGTCTCGTACAAAATGCATGCTTTGGAGCGTTCTCAGTTTGACTTCTGGAATAAACATCCAACGACGTGCTGTTTTGAAGATTGTGTCCTTCAAAGGTGTCCAGCAAGAGTGTCACAGCAAGAGTGTCCTACAAGACTGTCACACTCCTCTGTGTCACTCCAGAATGTCCTTCAAGAGTTTCTTTGAAGAGTGTCAAGCAAGACCTGGTGGGTCACCGTGGGTCACCGTGGGTCCGTACGACTCATTTCTGCGCGAAGTGAGCATCGGACTGATAGGGAGCATCCCGAAGTGCCAGCAAACCCATCGATGTTTGATTGGGAATTGATCTTGTCCTTTTCTTGTGGCCTCCATATTGATTGCCAGGCTCTGGCAGAAGAAAGTGAATACTCCGAAGATGAGGAAGAATTTCGAAAGCGAAGTGTCCCTTGGGCAGACCAGAGGCACCAAGGTAGCAAAACCATTTCACGACGTGTGTTATTTTTTTTCCTGGAAACCCAAACAACCAGAAAGAAATGGATGTTTCCCCAAACAGCCATTTCCTATGTAAAGGATCATATTTGTATTTGCATGCCCCTTGATATTTCCACTACAAAATCGATGATGATACCATCACAAAGCAAGCTGTTTGTTTATAAATAATGATCTGCTTATGTTGGAGGTGGCATGTCAGAGAGTCTGGTTTTATAGAGAACACAGAAAAAAAAAAACAGTTCGAAAATACCTTGTGCACTTGTGCCCTATGATTCTATAGTGTTTGTACTTGCTATGTCTACCAGTTGTCTACCTATTTTCCATGTCCCCAACCCAATTCTATAGAGCTGGCCATGGTTTTCAGTCTCACAATCCTCAATTCTATAGAGCTCAAAATGCAGCCTCTCATTTTGGATGTCATATGCAGCGTTTTATCATTGAACATCGGTGTACCCCCCCCGACTTAATTCCAAGGGGTATATATTTGCCATATTGGAACCACCATGTCTTTCTGGTTGTATGAGGTTCCAGGTAGAAGACCCACGACAAATTGTTCATCTCGACGGACTTCACTCGTGTCTCCCCAGTTAAATTCCCAAGCGGTCCAAGATGGTCGGAAGGATGCGAAGGATGAGTGGAAACATCCTATGATATCCTATGTATAGAAGTGCCTGGTGCTTCTTGATCAGCAACGAGGGAGTCAACCAAAGACAATTTTTGCAACATCTAGTGTCATGCGGTCAAGGAATTGGTACACTTAGTTTTGGAGGTTCCACCATCAATGGTGGACACAACTCTTTACACTTCACGACTCGAACAATTTGTTTTTCTATATGATGGACCCAGGAAACAAACTGAGTGGGGACGAATTTTTGAGATGTTAAGGAGAAGAAATTGAAGGAGTTCGGATGTCCCAGTTTCGGCCGTTTCAGCTGGGCATTTCGAGGCATTCCCGACACGGGGATCAGCTGGATACATGAGCTGGATGCGTTTTCCGTTGGGCAAAGGGTCAGGACAACAGTGGAAGG